TTTTAATTTTTTATACGAGATATTACGATAAAAAAATTTCAAAACTATAGAAAATATAAAGCGAATATGAAACTTCATATACGTTAGTGATAAAGAACACTTTTGTGCGAATTTTTTAGAATCATAAAGGCATTTGATATATAATACAAGCTAATTTGGTTAAAATGAAAGAATAGGTAGCTGGAACGTGGCTATTTAAATCGTTAAAAGTTCCGCACCTTTTTTTCTTTGTAAGAAGTTGATAAAAGAATTTATCTGCAAGAAGTTAAAGTTCCTTTCGCTGCTTTTGTACAGCAGCGTTAAAAATAATTTAATAGAAACAATGAATTAACGAGTATAACGCACACATATCCTTTCAGCTTTTCCTGAACAATATGCTTTTAAGAAATTCTATACATAGTTTTAATGATGTCGAGGGATAAACAGTAATTTCCTTTTTTTTTTTTCAAATTTAAAATTGCGATCGTATAAAAGAAGAAAATGTGATCTCTTTATAAGTTTTACACAATTTTTCTTTTTTCTTTTTTTTGTTGCAGATTATTACGATCAAAGGAGATCGTCAATGAAGATATAAAATATTATGTGGCTCCCTCTGGCGGCTAATGATCTAAACAACTTTGAAGAAACAGAAAAATTTTATCTTTACTCTGTAAGATACGTCCTTGTGTATAGACAAACCCTAAAGCGAAAATTTGAAAAAAAAATTAAGAAACTTGCCATTTGCAATCTTCCGCTTCGCATCTGCATTTGAGCCGAACTTTTGCTGTTCATGGTATTCATAATATTTATTTCAAAGTTCGTGAAGAGGCGAAGAAGAAAAATTAATGGTATAAAAAATGGAGAAATGTATACGCAGAACTCGATAACAGAGTTTCTTTCCTCTACCTTAACGTGGGTAGTGTTCAGGGTATCTCGAACCGTACATTAGGCACTTGGTACTTATTAAGGTTCATGTGATTTATAAACAAACGATTGTATATTGTCAATGAAAAAGAGAGAAGGAAATAAGTTTTCTTTTATTTTTCTTTCTTCGAGTAGTGAAAAAAACTCGGCTGTGGAACGTATCGGTACAACATGTGATTCAATGACAAATTACAATGATTCCGCGAATACCTAATGTTACGTTATTTAATAATTTATTTTTCTTATAATTTCTTTTAGTTTTTATAACATTTAAGATAATGCTTTTTAAGATAGCACTATTTCAACGAATACTCGAATTTTTCTGCATCGTTAAATTTTAACTAATGAATATAAACTACGTATTAATTAAATTCAAGGTATTCAATATCATTTTATCACTTGTTTGACCGATACGCGTATACTTCCTCGAGATCATGCATGCACGTGTTTCACGGCATATCATTTTGCGATCAACAGGAAGTATGTTTTATAATGAAAAATAAAAGCTAAAAAAAGTTTTAATAAAAAATGGAAATTTATTAACGTGGTCCAAATAAAATGAATGAGAATGAAGGAAAAATAAGTCAAAAAATTTGTAGTAATTCTATGAAAATTCCAAGCAACAAGCAGAGATGTACAATTTCTTTTTATTTTCGTTGTAAAGTTGAAAGAAAATTAAATATGAAAATAATGTTGAAAATGAAGAAAAAAATATGATGAAAAAGTTGATGAAGAAAAGAAGACTTTTACGGCATTGTACAGTCGATAATAATTTATCACTCAGTCCAATTGTAAGATTGATTTAGCACTTAAGGGTTGGATTAAGAATTCCCTGTTACATATTAAGTTACGTCGATGTAGCCGGTAGATGCTACTGCGCTCGCGTAGGGACGGATATCAGCGATTTCTGTTAATTCAATGTCGAGCGACGAAACACGATGTAACGATGTTTCCTCTCCGCGTCGGAGACTCCCTATACGAAGGATAGAACTTCACGCACAGGCCAGCATATTTTTTTCATTTCCTCCGTTATATATTTTCCTTTCTTCTTTCTCATTTTCCTTTCATTTTCTTTTTTTTTTATTTTTTTTTCTTAATTCGTTTCTATAATTCCATTTGTTTCTCTTCTTCTTTTTTTTTTTTTCTTTTAATTTTAATCATTTTTTCACATACACATACACTCGCGCGCACGCGCACGCAAAGTCTTTTTTCACATTGAACCTAAGGTACAAAACTATTTTCTATCTTCTTCACTTCCTAATATCAATAATAAGTTAATTGAGCGGTCAGCGCGATGTATATGTTTATATGGACATTGTAAATAAGGTATACGGGCTCGTCGTGAGTAGATATAAGTTTGTTGTGATAGAATCTGCAGATTCTATTCGATGCGACCGGGATTCACATGTAAACAGACATAATACATGCGCATATGAGCGCATGAGTATTCATGTACACACAATCATACACTTTCACTTTCATTACATACATGTATCTATTCTTCCTCCTTCACTCATCCTCAGTTGTAAATGCAAGACTCGTTTTTAATTTATATCGGAAGCTGTATTTATTATATAAAACATTCCACAACAAAAAGGTGATCAGTATGAATGCGATCGGTTTTGTGGGATTTTATTGCAATTTTAGATTAAAGAAAAACAACGCTGAAAAAAAGATGAACAAATGTAAATAAAAGCTTTTTTGCGAAATACTTTATTATGTTTCTCCTAATTTTCTATATTTATATTAATCTTTGTAGAGATACTTTCTTTTTTTTTTTTTTTTTTTTTTGTATGAACATTTTAACATTAAAACAAGTTCAAATAATAAAACATATATAGAAATATATATCACATAATCAGTGATTGTATTTGATGAGTTTAATGAAATAAGCATTTTGTATCTTCTCTGTTATTGTTTCAAAGAAAAATTTCCAATCTGTCCATTGAAATTATTTAAATCTGTTTTAGAAATATTTCTTATATCATTTTTGGTCAAATGTTTCATATTATTATTATTATATTTATATTTTATATCATAAATAATCTCAAAAAACATAAGGATTTAATTTTCTTAATGCCAGTAAAAATTAAATTAAATTATTATGACTTAAATATAAATTAAACGGTGCTACTCGCAACGAATAATAATACAATTTTAGATATAATACAATTTTAGAATACAATAGAGCAATTTTATTTGAATGTTGCTTGTTTATAAATTTCTATTGTTATTTAATGAAAACGGAGGAAAGGAAAATATTTGAAAATGAATTATCTGCCGACCTATGTCGCAATATGAAAGCAATTCTGTATAGATAACACAAATATGTCAAAAATATAATGTACATAAAAAAAAATATTTAATAAACCTTATATGTAAAATTTTGGTTGTTCTAAATAGCAATTTCATTTTTATGATAAAAATCTTAAAATTATCCTTTTTAAATATAATATATAAATTTAGTAAATTTATACAAAAAATTAGAATTATTTTTCAAAATTTGTAAAATAAATTTCTATATAAATATTTTAAAAAACAAATTAGAGTTCATAATTTAAAGTAAAATAATCATCATAGAAAAATTAGTTAACTATATGCATGTTCTTTAACGAAATATTAAAATACGTTCAATAAGAATGCTTACTAAATCATATTTTTAATTAATTACAGATGAAATATAGATTATTTACGCAACGAAATTTTTTATTATACAGAAATTAAAAATTTAAATGATTCCTTTACCATTTTCATGTAGCATACGATATTATCGACTCAGTATAATATATGTTTTGTGAAAATACAATTAGTAAGCATGAGAAATCACTGAGGGCATGAGAAACATTTTACTTCTTTCGAAGTCGATATTTCAGAACATATAATACAAAGTTTCATAGGTTGTTAAATCTATCCTGTACTTCATCTGTGCTTAAAATAACAAATTCTTAAAAATTGTAACTATATAACTATATATACTTGAACGTACATTTTTTAAAATTATTTTTTTTATAAATTTGTGTAAATTTCAAATACAATGTGAATTAGAATGATCAATGTGAAGACTATTTTTAAAGTTTTTATTTTACATTTTTGAAATTTAAACATTTTTATTAAAACTTTATTAAAGCTATATTTAGGCTATTCTATATATATAGTATTTCTGAAATTTTGTACTTATATATAATATATATTTGATCCAAAATACTAATCTAATTATATTTTATATTATTTTATTTTATATTATTATATTGATAACATTATAAATGGCTTTAAAAATATGATAACAGGTTTCACAAATTCTCAAACTTTCTAACAAAAAATTATAATATATGTTAAATCTATCTTATATTTCGTCTATGTTGACAATTATTTAATTTTAAATTCAATAATATATAATCAATTATATTCAAAAATCTATAATATTTTTTAATATTATAATACTAAATAGAGATAAGAAATTATTTATAAATAATTTGTATATTTATTTTATTATTTTTTTATAATTAATTTTAAAAAATTTGCAATATTGCATCAATTACTCATATGTCATTATATTGTAAAGAACAAAGACGTGCTTGCAATGCTTACAAATGAAAATATTTAATTTCACACTAGAATTCTGGGAGTTTCATTCTATGTAATCATTTGAATTGAATTTTACTCAATAATTTTTATTCTTAGTTTCATAAACTATTTTTTATTGGTTTATTGAATATATTTATGGAAATATAAAAAAAGAAAATGATTATATTTTTAAAATCTAAAATACAAAAATAACAATAAAGAAAAAAACAAAAACGGTTAAAATAATTCTATTGTTAAAGTAAGTAAATATCTTTTTTATAAATATATTTTATTTTGTGTTTTTTTTCTATTTTTGAAATCCAATTTTATAATTTTTTTTATAATTTTATAATTTTGTATAAAAAATTAAATTATATTTGATTAGTATTTGAAAGTAAAAATTTCAAAACAGCGCAATAAACATATTTTTAAATTACCATAATAATTACATTCAAATAAATATTCGGAATAATTCACATAAAATTAAAAATAATAAGTATTTTTATACGTTTCTTAAAATTCGCATCAAATTGAAATCACTAATTTTTAAAGTGTATATTACTACTACTATCATACATATGAACATCATATGAAGTTTCGGTTGTTCCCGAAAGGCCGGAAACATCCTTTGGTTCGTTTGCCGCCAAAGCAAGCTGTGTGCTGGAATGAAATTGTTTATGCTTTGATTCGAGATCTTTCGTCTCTCAAAAGATTAATTTTCTAATTCAGTATAAAGAATACAATCTAATATACGGTTCTTTAAAATTGTTATTATAAAATTTACAGTGTTTCGGTGAAATTATTCATTAAACAAAATCGACGATGGCTAAAGTTCAGTTAGCAAATGTAGCTGTTCTTGATAATCCTTCGCCGTTTCTAAATCCATTCCAGTTCGAAGTTACTTTCGAATGTATTGAAGAATTAAAAGAAGGTAGTTGTTCTAATCTTTTATTATTTTATAAAATATATTTCTAAGTTGATATTAACATTATTAAAAATAACTATATGTCCGAATATTTTTAGTGCTTATGCTAGGTTAGTTTTAATAATTTAATACTGAATTTTTCAAGGACAAACCAATAATATCTTTTTTAATAATTTTATGATTAAAAGAACTAATTTATTTTATATTTCATTTTTTTTTAATTTTAATATATTTTCTTTTAAATATTGTATCAAATGTGTCAAATGTATCAAATATCAATTTGTTTGAAATAAGCAATATGTAATATATTATAACAATAATAATGATTTTATAGATTTGGAATGGAAAATGATCTATGTCGGTAGTGCTGAATCTGAAGAATTTGATCAAGTTTTAGACACAATTTATGTTGGTCCAATACCTGAGGGAAGGCATATGTTTATTTTTCAGGTATATTGAAAATATCATTTAAATAATGATTTAATTAATAATAAAACAATTAAATTCTAAATTTTAGTTAAAATCTTTCAGTTAAATATATATTTAATATTTATAATATATTATTTTTTTCATTTAGCAATTTAGCATTTATATCTTATTTTAGGCTGACCCTCCGGATGTTAGTAGGATTCCAGTGAATGATGCTTTAGGAGTTACAGTGGTTTTATTAACTTGTTCATATAGAGGACATGAATTTGTACGTGTTGGTTACTTTATAAATAATGAATACACAGATGCAGAACTTAGAGAAAATCCACCACCTCAGCCTCAGTTTGATAAAGTACAAAGAAATATCTTAGGAGATAAACCTCGTGTCACTAGATTCAAAATAAATTGGGATGATGGAACAAGTTCAACAACAAATAATGTACCAGAAGGCATGGATGCACAGTCATTAGAAGAAACATCACAAGATGCACCAACATCTACATTGGGATTTACAGAAAATACACATAACAGTATGGAAGTGATGTGAATGCCTGTTTATTGCAAATAACAAATAAGGTAGCACAGACCATAATATGATAAATGAAGTAGTACCTGGAAAGAAGATTTGAATGATTCATATATTTGGATACCTCAAAGAAAAAAACATTATGAAAGAATGGTAGCCTTTTATATGTTATATATTAATTGGTTTCTTTTTAAAAAAAAACTTATATGTTGAAGAAAAGTTATATGATAGGTAATGCGATAATTTTAATATTATAGAATTAAAATTGTTTGCTATTGCATACAAACACACATTATATATAAATTTTGTAATAGAAAATAATTAGAAATTACTTATTATATATCATTAAAAAAGAAAAAATTTGAAATATTAAAATATTAATTTTTAATGAAGATACATAGTAACACATTTTAATAACAGATTATAAAATAAAAATATATTTCAAACTAATATCTGATATCATGGTCATTATAATTAAAAAGTACAGAAACTGTTTAAATATTAAACTCTTGATAACTGTGTAATTTAAAAATAATTATATGGTGATATTCTAGAAATCAATTTGGAATTTTGTGTTTAATACTTTAAGTATTATATTATGGCTTATTATTATCATAAATTAATAGAAATAAGGCTGTTTCCATTTTATCAGTGTATGTACATATATACTAAAATGAAAATACATATTATGTTTTTTACTTCATTATATTTTGTTTTTAAATATACTTCTATATTCAATAATTATTGAAAAATAATGGTAAGTAAAAATAAAATAAAATTAATAATAATTTAGGGATAAATATAATATAATACATTATAATTATATTATATATAATATGAAAATAATTTGAAAATATCTTAAAATGTCAAAAAGGATTGCAAAATATATTTTTTAAAATTTATGAATGATGAAAATTTTTTAAATTCGAATTCAAGTAGTACTTTTAATAACAGAATTCATATTTATAATCATAATATTTATGATTGTAATTAATATAAATTTCATATATTCCATTTTTTAATTGAAAATTATACAAAATTTTTTTATAATTTCTTATAATTTAAGTCTAGAATTTATAAACATTTAGTATTTATTTTTCAATTTTTGCTGTCAAATTGTAGAAGCGAATAAAATTTATTTATTATATTTATAAATATTAGTAACAGTTCCAGGATGTCAGTAAATTTTAAATAATTAAATGATTTATAAAAAATTATTAATTTATTATATGCATTTAAAGATATAATTATAAAAATGAAACACTTCCAAATTGCAGATTTGATAACAGAAAAACAACCTTTATTATGTATTTGTTAGAATTTCGATATTTTCATTACATTTTTATTTATGACTTGAATGCATTAATTTATGAATTTTTATGTTAGATAATATATGTAAATTGCAATATTAGTTTATTAGCTATAAACATATATTGAGATATTAGAAAAACTTTAAAAAATATGTTTTTTAATAAGAAAAAAAATGTCTTTTAATGTACCTATTATTTATATAGATTTAAGCTCCTAATTTCTATCTTTCACATGATAATTATATATATATCTCTATTATTTTAAATTACAAAAATTGATCAGAAGTATTATTGAAATATTTTTTTAAAAGAATTTTTGTTTATATTTAAAAAATAATATTTAAATTTTTTTTTCATTTTTAATTAATCATTTTCTTTTTTTGTTTCATCTTTACTATTACTTTACATATATACTATGATAATATAATTATTTACATAACAGTTAAAATGTTTTTCAAAGAAAATATATAAAATATTTAATAAAAAACATAAAATATATAAATATTTAACAAAAAAATAAAGATTGCTACATCATAAATAAGATTAAATTATAGAATGTTATATTTTAGAATAATATCTCAAATGATACATCACTTATATCGTATGTATCTCTCGTATTATTAATGTTAACATTAAACATTAAGATAATTTATAATTTTATTAAATGCAGTTTTTTGAAAAATAGTATTTTTTAAAATTAACATATTCTTTAATTAATTTTAACAAAATTACATATTTTATAATTTTACAATTACATATTTTATAAAAAAGTAATTGATATATTATGTATTTTATAAAAATGTTTTTTATAAAATTCGATTTCTTTTTTTAATTTTAATAATAGATTATATTTTGTAAGTTCTTATAATTATTTAAAAATTTTAATACAAATTATACAAATTAAATTAATACTTTTATATTTGTTTATTTATAAATGAGTATGTACTTTTTAACATTTAATATTAATAATAATTGTATTAGTAAATATATAATAATTGTATAATTATTTGTACAGATAATCTAAAACTACGAAATTTTATTATAAACAAAATGGTAAGAACAAATTGATGTGAATATAATTTTAATTTAAGTATGTTTTTTTTTATTCAAATTAAAATAAAAATTGTAAAATATAAAGATATAAATATATATATGCTAATTTAATATAATATTATATAAATATAAATGTAATTAAAATAGAATGAAATTGTATGTACATTTTCTGTGATATATATTAAAAAATAAATTTATAAGTTTGTAAATTATTTATAAATTTAAATTTAATTAAGAATCAATATTTTACATATATATATATATATAATATATATCCACGTATAAAATTTCAAATTGTCTGTAATTGATTTGTTTTTCTAATTACAAACTATATATAATAGAAAATACTCTATTTTGAGAAACGAAGGGCCTATATAAATCAACTACACTACTGTCGTCACCCCCACTACCTGTTATGTCGTGAGCAGGTCTGAACACGTTCAGTATATGCCGGCGATCGCAGCATCAGACTACAGGTGGATTTCAAACAGTGCATTTGTTTTTGCGTTCGAAGCTCACACGGATGAACCTGTCAACTGTCTTCAAACAAATATTACGTACATGCGAGTACAATCACAAAAGTAATACATATTTCCGACCTTTATACATTTACATCATATTTTCCAATGGTAAGTAAAATAAAGTTTTTATTTTTTTTTATCTATTTTCAATAGAAAGTGAATCGAATGATTTCATTCAACAAATTTTGATAGCTTTTAATCAAATCAACGTATGATTGTTCCGCTAAAGATTTATCCGTCCTGTTAAATTGATACAATCAAGTTTGAGATATATTACATATCATCAGCAAAACATATACGTATATTATATATTTATTTTGCATATATAAAGATCATATATAAAGTTTATAATAGTGATATGCATATAATAGAAGTATCAAATCATTGCCACGTTGTCTAAAATCTTTTTATTCTTTTTTTTTTCTTATATTATTTTTTTAATTTCTATTAAAATAAATATTAAAATTCTTTTATTTGTTAAAGATTTTTAAATATTATAAATTTTGTAATTTAACATCATGATTTCATCATCTTTTTGAGTACTGATTATCTTTAATAATTCTTTTTTGAAAATATTTTTTTTAATGTATTCGATTTCACGTACAATTGTACTAAAGTTGTAAACAAACTTTTTTTATTATACGATAAATAGCGCAATTATTATTGATATCAAGTATTATTTTCATTAAAATGAAGTTTAATAATAAACTAAAATATGAAAAAATGTATAAAAATTTATGTAATGTGTTATAATTTATATAAATCCCACCATGATTTTTTTATTGAAACCGGAATATATGTTCCACGCAGTTCTCAGTACGACATAAGCGCGCCGCGATGAGTCACTCAACTGCCGTTTTTTTCTTTTTCGCCCGGGAATCTCTGCAGCCATTATAGAAATAAAATATCACAAAGGAATAAGAAAACAATTATAATATTAAATTTTTGATATAGTGTTTATATATATATATATATATATATATATATATATATATATTATATGTCATATATAT